GACAGAAATATTATCAGAAAACAGTGGGCTACCGTGCGGAACCAGAAATCTGGCATCAGCGGCTCGGGCATCCTTCTCACACGACACTCAAGAACTCCCTGAAGGCTGGTGTTCTTGACAACGAAGCTCTGCTTCTCCCACGAGGAGGATTCCTTACCGCAGGCTCTGAAGACCCGCCGTGCACAATATGCCCCGCCGCGTCGCTCGCCCACAAGCCTTTCCCCGACTTACCGCCCGGCTACGAACGCTACCAACCACTCGAGAAAGTCTACAGCGACTTCATGTGCCTGACGGAGGACGGACTCGATGGCGAGCGCTACACGCTGACCTTCATCGACGCCAGTACTCGCCACGTTTGGGCTATCAATACCGACTACAGATCACTCGCCTTCGAATGCTTCATCGCGTGGATGAAGCGAGCTGAACGACAATCGGGACTTAAACTGAAGAGCTGGCAAACGGACGGAGCTCTGGAGTTCTTCTCAGACGAGTTCGAGGAGCTCTTCCGGAAGAAGGGGATTGAACATCTGGTGTCCCTGCCCTACGCTCACGAGCAGCAAGGAGTAGCAGAATGGACAAACAGGAGCCTCGCCACCAGAATGAGGGCCCTGATGAAGCAGTCGGCCATCCCACCTCGTTACTGGCCGTTCGCCATGAACCATGCAGTTCGGCTGCACAACTTGCTGTCATCCCGAAGCCTCGAGAACAACAACTCCCCCTACAAGGCGTGGACGGGCAGAAAAGCATACACGCGTCTGCTTCGGGTGTTTGGCTGCATGGTACAGTACAGACCGCACACAGCAAGGACCGGAAAGTTTGCTGACCGGGCTCGCTGGGGCATCCACCTCGGAATCGAAAAAGAATTCAAGGCGTGGATCGTGCTGGACTACGCGACACACGAGGTGACGAAATCACGTGACTGCATCTTCTACGAGAAGCTGACTCTGCCACTGTTCAACGAACACCGCGAAGCTGACAGGGTACCAGAAAGGGCTTTCGAGGGACACCGCAGCTTCGCAACTCCACACGATGAAGCTGACCTGGCGGAAGATATGGACGCAACACATGTCAGCCAGTTTGACAGCGCACCCAACATCCCCCTTACAAGTCCATTCCAAACTCCAATTTTCATCCCTCTACACCAACCTGACCCCGATGATACAACTCGCGAAGCTCACAACTTCAACAGCAACGCCCACCAGTCACCAGATGCCGAGTTACCACCACCAAACAACTCGCAGGATTCCATCCGGCCCGGCAACGACAGTGACGATGACGTGGTCGAAGTAACCAGCTTTCACGACTACGACCGTCTGCACTACGAAAAGACCAACGAAACTGGTCTCCGCATTCTCGGGCTCGCCGTCGCTGTTCGCCACTCCTCCCTCAAGGAACCCACCACTGTTCGCCAGGCTCTCTCCGGCCCCGACAGTGAGAAATGGAAGGCAGCCATGGCTAAGGAAATCGCGTCGCTCAAGAACCGTGGCACCTGGAAGCTGGTTCCCCGGACATCCGCGAAGGGGAGGAAAATTCTCAGCGGAAAATGGGTGTTCCGCATCAAGACACTGGCGGACGGCTCCATTGACAAATACAAAGCGCGTTGGGTGGTACGCGGCTTCGAGCAAACACACATGGTGGACTTTGATCTCACCTACGCACCAGTCGGACGGCACACCTCCGTCCGAATCCTCATCTGCATCGCAGCCGTCAAGCAGCGCCCACTCCGTCAGATCGACGTCGGCAGCGCATTCTTATACGCTCCGGTCGACGCAATCATCTTCGTCGAGCAGCCACATGCCTTCGAAGAGAATGACGGCGCCGTCTGCTTGCTCCAGAAATCCCTCTATGGGATCAAGCAAGCACCTCGCCTGTGGCAGCAGTACCTCCACACGGTACTAACTAACCTTGGCTTCCAACAACTACCCCACGACCTCGGAATGTACAGGAAGGAGTCGCGCGGCAAGTTCATTCTCCTCGTCACCTACGTTGACGACCTCCTCTACACCGGTGACGACACGGAGCTACTGGATCAGTTCGAAGCAGACATCAAGGAGCAGCTGGAAAGTCACCGTCAACCACGACGTCACACAATTCCTCGGACTCAACATCACCCAGTCTGCCTCCTCCATTCACCTCTCCGCCGCCAAGTACGCCGAGACACTCGCGAAGAAGTTCGGCATCGCACCAATCAACCTCTCCACCCCGTTTCGCACTCCTCCCCCCAACCACGAAGCCGACACCTCGCCCCTCTCTCTTGAGGATCATCGGCTCTATCAGCAGCAGCTCGGGTGCCTTCTCTTTGCCGCCGTTACGTGCCGGCCCGATCTCTCCTACGTTGCAAGCCAGCTCGCTCAGTACATGAAGCGACCTGAAGGGGAGAATCTACAGGATCTACGCCGCGCACTCCAATACTTCATCTCTACTCCCAACGTCGGCCTCACCTACGAAGCTAACTTAACGGCCACCTTCAGCTGCACGGCTACGTAGACGCTGATCACGCGGGAGATGTTGACAACAAACGCTCCCGCACAGTATTTCTTTTTCAACTCCAACCTGCTGGGCTCATCTCATGGAACTCTCAGAAGCAGGAACTCATCGCCCTTTCGTCAGCCGAAGCAGAATTCATCGCCGCCAGCGCAGCTGTTCGCGAAGGACTATACCCGATGGAGCTCTTGCAGGAAGCGAAAGTAACAATGAACGGGCACTTCACGTTACTCTGCGACAACCAGAGTGCGATCAAGATCGCAAACAAGCCCGACTTCGTGAATCGCACGAAACACATCGCCCTTCGCTACTTCTTCGTCAAGGACGAAATCGACAAGGGCAAGGTCAAGCTCACGTACTGCCCGACTGGTGACATGGCAGCCGATTTTCTGACAAAGAAACTGCCACGTCAACAGTTCCAGCACTGCGCCAACCTTTGCGGGATCACCAAGAAATCCCACGTGGCTCACCTTCAGGAATGAAGGGGAGTGTTGGGATAACTGAAAGGTTATCACAAGCATTCCCGAAGACTCTCCACTGTCGTATCTCTTTATAGCGAAGCAGGTGCTTGTACCAGTACCGCATGAGCTCGTATAGAGCACGCGGAAGTTCGAGGGTCACCCGAAGGTCAACAGTCGAAGACAGTCAACGGTCGTGACCCTTGACTGCCCAGTAACCGCACAAGGCAGTTGCGAAATGCAACATGGTAACTGTCCAGAATGGCAATAGTCGTGGGTTACTGTAGCAATGCAATTCAGTTAATAAGGGAATGTACCCCTCAGAGTACATGGCTAGCTAGGCTTTCTATTTATACCCTTGTACTCCTGTCTTATAATCATCTTGTTCTCTTTCAAATTATTAACAAGGTCATTACAGAGACTTCACAGTTCTCTCCCATATACTTGGCAACCTTATCCTATCCACTACGATTCTTAGTTATAACATCAGGCTTTAACTCGCGTCCAGCACCAACCACCTCACTGAAATTTCTGGCAAGTGTATAATGGGCTGCAATAATAAATGAATTAAGTGCTGAAGCAAAACCGAATTAGTTCTGCAAAATGGGCTGAATTAGTTAGAGCAATTATCACCTTACTTTATACAACAAGCTCGTTGTGCTAGGACATTCACGTCTTTGAGCTCCGTTTGCAGCCGGAAATTTGTCAGAGGAATTTCAGGGAGCTTCTCTCGATTCGCGAATATCCAGCAGCTTCTACACTTTCGCTGGCGCGATTTGACAACAGGCCTGATGCTCGCTAAACCTCGTCACCTCCCTATTCACTGCCAACACTGCCAAATATCTTGATGTTCCTTCGTCGAATCTGTTTGTTACCTTTCGCTGCCTCCGGGTTTACTACCTGGCGTGTTTCGTCGCTCCGTGTGCGCTGCTAACGGACGTCGCCACTGCGCCTGTAACTGAGGAAACCCTTCTTGAGATCCATCACGGTCGACCACGGGGCGTCAGCCGCAAGCGACAAAAACTGTCTCGGCGGTGATCAACTTGGCAGTAATCAGGAGCTTGCAAGACAGTTTTGCCCCTCGTCGTGACAAAAGCCCAGTCCAGAGAAGGACTGACGGATTCTGTCTGCACTCCAACCCAAACATCCCACGTCCGTCAACTTCTGACAGTTTCGTTTTCTCCAGGCAGCTTATCAGATCCTTCAGATTCTCCAGTTCCACGCACAGCGCTCCGTAACGGCATTGCGGCTCGAGAGACTCTCGCGACACGTCGGTGGAAAGCTGTAATCTTCCATGTCCAATCAGCTGGTGGCTTTCGTTATAGTCATCGGCCTGTGAGAGGCGCTGCTTGGAGTCTCGTGTGGTCGCGATTCGGCGCTTTTGAAGCAAGTGATCGCACCAGGTGGGACCGAAAGGGAGGGAACGCAATGCAAAGTTCAAGACTCCTCGGACCGCCGGCTACACGAGTTTCCAGACGTTATATAGCTTGAGAGGATTCAAAACGCGATTCGGAGGTCGTGGTGCAAGTGATATCGTAGTCCCGGGTCCTACTATAAGCACCACGTGCTTCTGAAGCAAGTCTCGTGTGATGTTGAAGGTTCGAGCCCTACTAAGCTACAGATGAGACCTAGCGGGAGGGGATGCGATACAAGGGGTGGTTTGGGTTGATGCAAGAGATGGGTTTCCGGTTGAGTCGAGTCAAACGAGAGCGAGTCCTGTTTGAACCGATTCAAACCGGACGAAATGCAGGTAACGTGCGAAGCGTGACGAAGTCTGCGCTAAGACGTTAACGGAATGAGTACGGCGCGGAGGGAGAGGCACGGGATGGGTTTTGAGGCTCCTCACAAGCGTGTGAGGCGTGTTGGAGCTACGATCAAGACTTGAACGAAACGCGTAAGGCGGAGACGGGAGGGGCCGTGCGGCTGTGCGCCAATGGCTTGCAAAGAGCGCAGGCGAGAAATGCCATAACCCGTGACCACCAACACCCCAAGATGGCGCGCTACCAGCTGCGCTATGCCCCTTGAAGGATATGCAATGCAGGCCGCAAGGAGACGTGCATGAGGATGAGTGTTCTGCACCAACTCGCCCAGGGAGTGGGAGGGGAGACGCTTGGAAGACACATCATTTCCTACTCTCCTCCTCCCTTCCACTCATCCCTCCCTTCACTACCAGATGTGGCCGCTAGTGCCGGTGGCAGTGGTGGCAGCAGGGGGGGCGTGGGCGTAATGGGCTCAGACCAGCTCTCCCAGGGAGAGGGAGGGGGACGCATGGAAATCGCATCCTTGCTTACCACCCTTCTGCCCATTTCTCCCTTCCATGATCCATTCCCTACCAGATGTGGCCTCTAGTGCCAGTGGCAGTGGTGGCAGCAGGGGGCGCGTGGGCATACTGGGCTCAGACAAACTCCCCCAGGGAGTGGGAGGGGGGACGGCGCAAGGGCATTGTGCCCTTCTTAAAGCCGCAGTCATATTATGTGGGTGTTGACATGGGTGTCGCAACCGTTCTTCTTACCACATGCATGGTTTTCTTAAAGCCCACGTCCTTTTGCTGCAGAGCTGCGAGGAACTAGCTGTGAAGAACTAGCTGTGAAGAACTAGCTCAATGCTGCAATGTCAATGCTGCACATGCCCCACATGCCCCACATATCCCACATGCTCTCACCCTCACTACCGTTTTCCCTGTGTCACCTCTGCATGCGCATGCCATACAGGATTCAAAGGGAGTCAAGAGCGTGCAGGTGAGTCAAGAGCGTGAAGTTGAGAGGCATGCCTTTGCGCACATCACATCACATCACATCGCATCGCATCGCATCGCATCGCATCGCATCGCATCGCATCGCATCACACCACACCACATCACATCACATCACATCACATCACATCGCATCCATATCAGTTGTCTCAGATTCTTTTCTCACACACACATTTATGTCTACCCTCCACCACTCCACCCTCCCCCCCTCGCCCAACCAGCACAGGTGTACTATCGCAACAGCAGAGGCGTTGAGATCTTCACAAAGCGATGGCAGCCGTTGGATGGGGTGGTGAAAGGAATCGTGGTGTACTGCCATGGCTATGGCGACACATGCACATACCACTTTGATGGTACGTGATTCACATGCAGGTACATGCATACATGAATCACAACGTACATGCACATACCACTTTGATGGTTTGTGGAGATGACGCATGCACCCACACAAGCATAGGTGGGTGGGATGGTCACGGTTCATGCATGCATTGCATGAGGGGAATCGTGGTGTACTTCCATGGCTATGGTGATCCATGCACATACCACTTATATGGTATGCGGAGGTGATCTGATGATGCATGCACTCACGCACCCCTTGTGTAGACGACACATGCTCCCAAACAAGCATAGATTGGATGGTCACGGTTCATGTATGCATCCTTGCATGCATGAGAGGAACGTGGTGTACTGCCATGGATATGGCAACACATGCGCATACCACTGAGGGTGGGTAGACGGGGGAGATTATCCGATGTTGCATGCATGTGCATATGCGTAGATGGTATGTGATTCACATGCGCGTACCACTTTGATAATATGCAGAGATGATCTGATAAAGCATGCATACACTCACATAAGCACATGCACGTAACACCTCGATGGTATGTAGAGGTTATTATAGTTTCGAGGCGCCTAAAAACTAGACTCAAAAGTGGTTTTGAGGCTCCTCAAAATTAGAGGTTATTCATGCACGTGCATACATGCATTCAGTGGCGGACGGGAGCATCTGATTCATGCACGCATGCTGCAAACGCCTTCTGATTTCAGGCGCCTCAATATCAATTCAAGGGTCACGTTCTCCTTTTCCCGCCCGCCCTCCCATCCACACCACACCCCACCCACCCCAACCCAAGTCCCCCTCCCCTTTCTCCGTCCACATGTGTGTGTGCTACGTCTTCCAGACGTGGCAGTGAGCATGGCACAGCAGCAGTACTTGGTGTATGGCATGGAATACGAGGGTCATGGGTCATCCCAGGGCCTGCACACTTATACATGGCGGCCCCCTCTCCCCTTCCCCTCTCCCCTTCCCCTCTCCCCTTCCCCTCTCCCCTTCCCCTCTCCCCTTCCCCTCTCCCGTTCCCCTCTCCCCTTCCCCTCTCCCCTTCCCCTCTCCCCTTCCCCTCTCCCCTTCCCCTCTCCCCTTCCCCTCTCCCCTTCCCCTCTCCCCTTCCCCTCTCCCCTTCCCCTCTCCCCTTCCCCTCTCCCCTTCCCCTCTCCCCTTCCCCTCTCACGACCTGCATGCATACATCCTCCCTTCCCACTCCTTCTGCCCCCTTCCCATTTTGTCGACCGCCAGACGTGGCAGTGAGCATGGCACAGCAGCAGTACCTGGTGTATGGCATGGACTATGAGGGCCATGGGTGCTCGCAGGGCCTGCATGCATACATCCCCCGCTTCGACACCATCATAGACGATGTGGTTGAATTCACCGACGCGCTAAGAGGTGGGTGCAAATGGGTGGAGGTGGGTGCAGTGCAGTTGGGTAGGTGCTCACAGGGTCTGCATGCATACATCCCGCGCTTCGACACCATCATAGACGATGTGGTTGAATTCACCGATGCGCTAAGAGGTGGGTGTTATTGTGGCGCCTCTAGCACAGGTTGCTCCCAGGTCCTGACTGTTGAGACTCTCCAAAGTGGACTACGAGGGCCATGGGTGCTCGCAGGGTCTGCATGCGTACATCCCTCGCTTTGATACCATCATTGATTGACGACGTGGTTGTATTCACAGATGCGTTAAGAGGTGGGTGCAGATGGGTGCAATTACATGCAGGTGGGTACGTGCTCGCAGGGCCTGCATGCATACATCCCTCGCTTCGACACCATCATTCATTGACGACGTGGTTGAGTTCACTTACTCATTACGAGGTGGGTGCAGATGGGTGCAGGTAGGTGCAGGTGGGTGAAGCAGTGCAACCACATGCAGGTGGGTAGGTGCTCCCTCCCAGGGCCTGCACTCATACATCCCTCGCTGATACCATCTCAAGGATGTGGTTGGGTTCACCGACGCGTTAAGAGGTGGGTGCAGTGCAGGTGGGTGCAACAGTGTGCTCATACGCTGGGATCCCGATCAAATCCACTTGAATTGTGGATTGTGTCTTAGCCGCTGTACCTGCCCTCTCGTCCCTCCCAGTGTTCCTGTACGGCGAGTCAATGGGCGGCGCAGTGGCCCTTTAAGCCCACACATGGTCTCACTCTCACATACCTCTCATTTCACCTCCCTGCCTCTCTGTGTGCATTCCATTCCCCCACACACTCCCTCGCAGCCTCGCTTGCCCTCTCATCCCTCCCAGTGTTCCTGTATGGCGAGTAAATGGGCGGCGCCGTGGCCATCAAGACACACACACTGTCTCACATCTTTCTCCTTTTACCTCCCTACCTCTATCTGTGCTTCCAATCCCCTCATATGCCCTCTCAGCATCACCTGCCCTCTCATCCCTCCCGGTCTTCCTGTACGGCGAGTCAATGGGCGGCGCAGTGGCCATCAAGACGCACTGGCGCCGCCCAGACGCCTTCCGAGGAGCCGTCCTATTGTCGCCCATGTGCAAGGTAACCATGTGGTAACCATTGGATAACTGTGTGTGTGGTAACCACGTGAGAAGCATGTGTGGCCATGAAGTAGCCATGGGATAACCATGGAATGGTGATGATTATGATGATGGGATTTGCCATATGCAAGTTCATGTCGCTGATACAACAGTGTGTGGTAACCATGCAACGGTTGCCGTCCACGGTTGCCGTCCACGGTTGCCGCCCATGGTTGCCGCCCATGGTTGCCGCCCACAATTGCCGCCCATGGTTGCCGCCCACAATTGCCGCCCATGGTTGCCGCCCACGATTGCTGCCCACAGTATTCTTTCCCATTATTCAGTACGATTGTCAAAGGCTCTCTAACGATCACCAGTGTTGGCCTTCAGTACAAATGATCATCTTCTCTTGTTTCCACCCTCCGATACAAGCACCCCCCATGCACTGCTACTCTCCCACCACCCAGCTCCTCCCCCAAAGTACTCACCACATACCACCACTCCCCTACCCTCTCCTCACTTGGATCGCCAGATAGCACGAGCAGATCCCGTTTCCGATAGTTCAAATCAACGGTGTTAGCTTTTAGCAGCGTCATTCCCAAGGTCATGCTGGTCAATTATCATTTTGCAATAATCACCAGACCACACCCGCCCACCCTCCACTCCCCCCTTCCCCCCGCCTTTCAATGTTGACCAGATAGCAGAGGAGTTGATGCCTCCCCCAATGGTGGTCTCAGCGTTCTTGGCTCTCAGCGGCGTCATTCCCAAGGTCAAGATGGTGAATGATCACTCCCAAATACTCACCACATACCACACCCACCCGCCACTCCCCACCCCCCACTGGTCACCAGATAGCAGAGGAGTTGATGCCGCCCCCAATGGTGGTATCAGCATTCCTGGCTCTCAACAGCGTCATTCCCAAGGTCAAGATGGTTCCAGGAAAGGACATCAGCGACATTGGCATGAGAGACCTTGCCAACCGGAAGCGGGTGAGTTAGGAGGAAGAGAAAGGGGGTAGGTGTATGCACGGTGTTGGCTCTGAGCAACGTCATTCCCAAGGTCAAGATGGTTCCAGGGAAGGACATCAGCGACATCGGGATGAGAGACCTTGCCAACCGCACGAGAGTTCAAATGGTGAGTCTTAATTTTGAACGGTGCTGGCTCACTCCAATGGTAATCCCGAGGTGAAGATGGTGCCGGGCAAGGATACCAGCGACATTGGCATGAGAGACCTTGTTGACCAAAAGGAGGGTGGTTGCGCACCTTCATATGGTGAGCTTGAATTGAAGCTATCGACATCCCAAGGTGAAGTATGCACCGTTGGCTATCTCCTCTTCAGCTCCCCTCCTCCTCTCTCCTCCTCTCCCCTCGCTCCCCCTACCTCCACCAGGCGAAGGATAACCCAATGTCCATCAGGGGCCCTGCTCGAGTGGGCACTGCAGTTTCACTGCTCCTCTGCTCCTGCTATTCACCTAACCCCCACCCAACCTCTTCCCTTGCTCCTCGCCTTCTCTTGCTGCGTCACCCACCAGGCGAAGGATAACCCAATGTCCATCAGGGGCCCTGCCCGAGTGGGCACAGCAGTTTCACTGCTGCGGACCACACAGGAGATCGGCCCACGGATGAAGGAGGTGAGGGTGAATGTGATGATGGAGGAGGTAAGGTGTGAGGATGGAGGGGGTTGGGTGTGAGGTGTGAGGATGAAGGAGGTGAGGGTGAATGTGATGATGGAGGAGGTAAGGTGTGAGGATGGAGGGGGTTGGGTGTGAGGTGTGAGGATGAAGGAGGTGAGGGTGAATGTGATGATGGAGGAGGTAAGGTGTGAGGATGGAGGGGGTTGGGTGTGAGGTGTGAGGATGAAGGAGGTGAGGGTGAATGTGATGATGGAGGAGGTAAGGTGTGAGTATGGAGGGGGTTGGGTGTGAGGATGACTCTCGGATTAGAGTCGCAAGTGTTCATTTGGTGGCTAATCATTGGATGGTGTATTCCAATCGACTGAATGGGATCATTGAAGCTTCCGGAAGCTTAGTCGCAGGCTGTTGCCATATTGACGTGCTTCATTGCTGCATGCAGCAATGGCACGGCAGCAAAGCAACGGCACCACAGCAGGCTCAGCATTCCTTCCCCCAGCATGTTCGTGCCAAATCTTTCACCCATATCCTTCGTCCATGCCACCCACCCCCTCGCTCTCTCCCCTCCCCGCAGCTCTCCCTGCCATGCTTCATACTGCACGGCAGTGCTGACGTGGTGACCGACCCGGCACTCTCCAAGGAGCTTCACGCAGCGGCCAGCAGCACCGACAAGACACTCAAGATCTACGAGGGCTCCTGGCATGGGCTCACGACTCCTGGCTGGCACCCTACCGTGCTTGATACTGTGCAAGAGTGCACCGATGAACCCCAAACCAGACCCCAAACCAAGTGTGTAACATACTGTCCAACCCCTCCCACTCTCTCCCCCTTCCCTACCCCCAGCTCTCCCTGCCATTCTTCATACTTCATGGCAGTGCTGACGTGGTAACCAACCCAGCACTCTCCAAGGAGCTGCACGCAGCGGCCAGCAGCACCGACAAGACACTCAAGATCTACGAGGGCTCCTGGCACGGACTCACGACTCCTGGCTGGCACCCTACCGTGCTTCATACTGCACTGCAGCACTTGACTTGATGGCCGATCTGTGCAAGTGTGCGCCTACGAACCCCAAACCAAGTGTGTCCCTTGGTGTCCAACCCCTCTCTCTCTCTCTCCCCTCCCTGCAGCTCTCCCTGCCATGCTTCATACTGCACGGCAGTGCTGACGTGGTGACCGACCCGGCACTCTCCAAGGAGCTTCACGCAGCGGCCAGCAGCACCGACAAGACACTCAAGATCTACGAGGGCTCCTGGCACGGGCTCACGTCCGGGGAGCCTGATGATGTGATTGAAAAGGTGATTGCGGATATTGTCGCGTGGATTGCTGCGCGCAGCAGCGCTGCTACAGTGGATTTGAATGCGGTGAATGAGAAGCTATTGGAGCCGCCTTTTAAGGGGGATAAGGGGAAGGAGGTAGAGGTGTAGCATTCGTACAGGCCTGCCTTTCAAGAGCCCGGCGATGTTGAGGAGAAGATATTAGGGGATATCGTGTTTGAGTTTGCTACTGCTAGCTGCGCTTCTAGCCGCAAACAGCACCTTGGATGTTTTTCCAAGCTGTACGAGCCGAATGTGTGACGAGAGTCTGAATTGTAGGGTAGAAAGTCTGCTACATAAGGTCCACTGGAAATAAATTATTACAGCGGCTAGGCAAGGCTGTGTGAAAATTTAATTGTAAAATCTTACTTGCAGCTGATCACTAAACGGTGTCGCGGGTAACGCTTTCGAGAACATTCAAGCTTCAGCCCTACTTCGTGACGTGGCTCATCTCGGTGCAACCATCTTCAACTCTCCCTTCCACGTGGATCACATGAAGCTGACTGCCAGCGCAGCGTAACAGCAATTTCGATAACTGTCAGCGAGTCAGTCGCTTGCTTCGCTGGATGTCGTTTCTGCTAACCAGCGCACCAAAGGTGCCTGCCACGCCCGACGCGCCGCGAAGTTGCCGCATCTCGCGGTGGAAATTCGAGGTGGAGGTGCTTCCAGCGATAGCCGATGGTTTGTTACGTTTTGTCGCCGACAATCCATGATCATCGTTGCGCTTGCATGCGACGAGAAGTGCAGGTTGGACGAATTCGTTATCGACACGGCGAAATTTCGTCGGACCCTTTCCAGCATTTGAACCTTGGCACGACGACGTGAGCGCAAGGTTTGATTTCAGCGGCGCGGCGCGGCATGTCACGAATTCGATTTTTGTACTTGTTGTCTCTGCCAGGCTACTCCATATTCGCGTTGTCGTGAATTTATCCAACTTCACTTCCTTCCGCACAGCAAATCCACCATTATGGTGCGACGTAATTTTGATATTGAGCGGCAAGCAGACAACCACCAATGGAAAAACGACTCGAACGCATGGAAAAAGGGAGCCGGCGTTGTTTCTCTAGACTATACTGAGTCGCATGGGATTTCCTTTCCGCAGAATAGCCATAACTCCATTCCTAGTGCTAGCTCTGAGCCAACGTTATCAGTCAGGTCGCCTCAATATCCCCCGCAACATGAGCAAAATCTTGAGAATTCCGCGGAAGATTCTGCCAGAATCGACTGGAACGAACAGCAAAGGTACCATAATCGTTCGGAAGAAAAGCAGATCACGAGAATCGCGGGGCAGACTACATCACCAACAAGGGAGCGAGAAAGCTCCGGGATAGTGCACGTGGCTTTTGACAACTCGCAAAAACCACATGAACGCGAAGGCGGCGTCGGTACTTGCCGTGAAAACAAATTTCTCGAGAGCAGAATCTGCGATTCCGATGCGCCGCCGAGAAAAGGCGTTCGAGATTCCGCGGAAGTCGAAGTGCTTGTTCCCGAGCAAGTGCGCGGAATTTCAGCGCACAAACCCCTTGGTCAGTCCCCCGAAAGCCCTGATGACTCTGACGCGGACGTTTTTTTGGAAGCGGATGATAGCGACAGAAGCCATCGCAGTGCGACGAGCGACGGCGTTCGCGAAGCAGAGGACGAGGCAGGGAGCGACGGGAAAACGAGTCGGAGCCCGAAGGGAGAGGGGAGGAAGACAGACGCAGTGGCAAGGGAGCATGCCGGGGATGATGATTGTGACGCGGCGGAGCGGGGGGCGGCGCAGGGCGGAACAGCGGAAGGCGGAGCAGCGGAGGGGGAGTTGGTGGCGGCGGAGGTGGGGGAGGCGCAAGTCGGAGCAGAGGGCGGGAGGTCGTGGTGGGGAAGGGTGACCGGGGGAAGACTGGGGAAGCGAAGGGTCGCCACGGATGTGTCGCCGCCACGTGGCAGCAGCTCACTGGAGGCTGTTTTCAACGGAGTCAACGTGCTGACGGGTGAGACACGTCGGGGCAAGGTCCGACCTGCGAGCGCATGTCCCAGGTGGCGGTGGGTGCGTGTGTGTGTGCGAGCGCATGCGTGTAGTTGCTTATCCTGACTGTGCCCGAGGGCATGCGTAAGAGCGAAACCGTCACCCTTCCTTCCTCATGCATCCTTCTCTCTTCTCCACTTGCCCTTCCCCCTCTCCTCCCCTGTCACCAGGCATCGGCATTCTCACCACGCTGTACGCGCTCGCCGAAGCGGGCTGGCTCGGCCTGCTCCTCCTCATCCCTCCTCACCCCTTCCCTTTCCCTTCTTTCCCCCATTCCCCCACCTTCCTCCCCTGTCACCAGGCATCGGCATCCTAACAACGCCCTACGCGCTCGCCCAGGCGGGCTGGCTCGGCTTGCTCCTTCTGCCCGCCACGTCCCTCCTCTACCTCCTCACCGCGCGCCTCCTCCGCGCCTGCATGGACCACACACCATCCACCGATCCCCACACCTCTACCACCGCATCCCACACCGCCACAACCCCTCCCCACACCTCCACCACCGCACTCCACACCTCCACAATCACCACCTACCCGGACATTGGCACGGCAGCGTTCGGCCGCGTGGGCCGTATCGTCACGTCTCTCCTGCTCTACGGGGAGCTCTTCGCCGTGTCGGTCGAGCTGCTCATCCTCGAAGGGGACTCTCTCGCCTTTCTGTTCCCCTCCTTCGCCCCACACGGCGTCTCCCTGGGGTCCTCCCTCCGCCTGTCCGCCAACCAGGTGTGTATTGAGGGGGGCGCCTCAAACATAGACTCTCAAAAGGCATGCTCACGTCCCTCGTGCTCTACGGGGAGCTCTTCGCTGTCTCAGTCGACCTGCTGGCGTATGTGTCCGTGGGAGGGCTGCTGGCTGCTTGCCGCGCTGGTCACGGTGGTGGGAGTGGCTTGTGGCTTGTTTTGAGTCGACTCAAACTCCTTCCCTCCGCCCCCTTCCCTCCTCCGCCTCTCCCCCAACCAGGCGTTTCTGATCATCGCTGCACTCATCGTGCTCCCCACGGTGTGGCTACGAAAAATGTCTCTGCTCGCTTATGTGTCGGTAGGGGGGCTGCTAGCTGCACTGGTCACGGTTGTGGGAGTGGCTTGTGGCTTGTTCTGAGTTTGACTCTAAACAACCCCTTGGGCCCCTCCCTTCACCTCTCCCCCAAGCAGGTGTTTCTGATCATCGCAGCACTCATTGTTCTCCCCACTGTGTGGCTGAGAAAGATGTCTCTGCTCGCATATGTGTCGGTAGGGGGGCTGCTTGCAGCGCTGGTGACGGTGGTGGGAGTGGCGTGGGTGGCGGCCGTGGGAACAGACGATGCAGGCTCTGCTGCTGCCGCTGCCTCGTCTGCCTCTGCTTCTGCAGCAGCAGCAGCTGCAGCAGCAGCGCGTGGGGGATCGGCGTTGCTGCGGGTGCAGGGGATACCGGTGGCGATGGGGATATTCGGGTTCTGCTTCTCAGGGCATGCTGTCTTCCCCACCATCTACCGCTCCATGGACAAGCCACAACACTTCAACTGGGTAAGGGGTTGATGCCGCACTTCGTACGCGGTACAAGTGTTGTAACCCCTTTGTGTTGATGTCTGTTTCTCGGGGCATGCTGTCTTCCCCACCATCTACCGCTCTATGGACAAGCCACAACACTTCAACTGGGTAAGTGAAAGAGCAAGACTGCTGCGGCTCTTGCAAGCGACTGCTGAAGCCTGTTTCATTGGCTTTCTTCTTCTCAAGGGCATGCTGTGTTCCCCACCATCTACCGCTCCATGGACAAGCCACAACACTTCAACTGGGTGAGTGTGAGTGAGTGAGTGCGTGCATCGATTGCACATAGCGCGATTGCTGTAAACCCCTCGTTTCAGGTCTTGCTTCTCGGGGCACTCTCTTTTCCCCACCATCTATCGCTCCATGGACAAGCCACAACACTTCAACTGGTTGAGTGGGTAGTGGGTGTGAGTCTGCTATGGCACTTGCATTTTCAACTCCTTTCCTGTAACGCGAGCCCAGTTGCTCAACTTTTTAGGCGCCTCAAAAGCCCAGCGGCTCAATGCTACCCTCGGTTCCTCCTCCTCCCCTCCCCTCGCCTCCCCCCGCCAGGTTCTCCTCATCTGCTTCACCGTCTGCACGTACATTTATGGCGGAATCGCCATTCTCGGTTACTCCATGTACGGACAAGCCACTGCCATCAAGTCATCCACATCCACTCCATTCCTCCTCTCCTCCTCCCGTTCCCCCATTTCCCCCTTTTCCTCCCCCGTCCAGGTTCTCCTCATCTGCTTCACCGTCTGCACGTGCATTTATGGCGGAATCGCCATTCTCGGCTATTCCATGTACGGACAAGGCACTGCCGCCCAGATCACGCTCAACCTGCCGCCCGCCCTCACGCCCTCCCGCATAGTCCTCTGGACCACCATCATCTCTCCCATAACCAAATTCGCCATCACCATCACCCCTGTCGCTCTCGCCCTCGAGTCCTCCCTCTCCTCCCACCTCTCCAACCTCTCCCCTCCCAACCTCGCCTCCTGTACCCCTTACTGTGTGCCTCGCTTCAAGCACAGAGGCTGCAGCTGCAACTGCAAACACACTCTGCTCCCTCTCTCCTGGCTCTCAAGATTTCCTGGCTTTAACAGAATGAGGATCAGCGGCAAGACATTTGTTTCCCTAACTGTGAGGACCCTACTGGTGGTGCTGGTGGCAGCGGCGGGATTGCTGCTTCCTTTCTTCGCCCTGGTCATGACTCTCACGGGCTCGCTTCTCAGCATCTCCATCTCGCTGCTCCTCCCCACCGCCTGCCACCTCAGCATCAAGTGGCGCCAGCTGTCGCGCGCGTCAGTTGCATGCCACGTGGCGATTCTCCTGGGAGGGACGGCGGCGGCTGTGACAGGGACGGTCTATGCCGTCAGGGGGATTGCTGCTGGTGGTGGTGGGTCGCATTAGCTGCTGATTTCGGTCTTGTGCTAATGCGACCCACCAGCAGCTGCTAAGCTGATTAGCAGTCAAGGGGATGTGCACTTGAGATGGTTCAGGGGGATTGCTGCTGCTGCTGGTGACTCGCATTGAAGGGGAAGCTGCAGCTGTGTTTTACTTCCAATTGCCAGCTGCAGCTGTGGCGGGAATGGTTTATCCCGTCAGGTTAATTGCTGCTGTTGGCGGTGGATAGCGCATTGAAGGGAAACTACAGCAGCTGATTTCAGACAACCAGTTGTGGCCATGATGGGGGGCCGACCCACAAGATTCAGCTGCTGATGGTGGTCTTGCTGGTGGTCGTGGCGTTGGGGGTGAGATCAAGGCCAGTTTTGAGAATTCTCATGAGTGGTGAGCTGAAGGGCAGTGGGTGCTGTCCTGACTGCCCTTGGTTGGCTTATTTTTTTGCGTTGTGAGCGCAACAAGCAGATGCTGATGAAGAAAATCAGCTGTTGATGTTGCTGTGAAGGGGAATTGCGGCCCTTCTGGCAGATGACAGAAAGTGCAGCCCTGGATGCGTCTTGGGGAAAACATCACCTCTGGTGATGGGTTTCGCTGGTAGAAGCATTGTTAGTTTTGCATGTTGCTTGCAGTCAACCTTAGCTTGTTGACCAAATTTTGGTGTCCATTATTGTACACACCTTCGTCCCTACAGCAACTGTCTTTCAACATAACACATATCCTCAGCCCTCTGATGTGAGAAGGTGAAGTGCAGTCAAAAGCAGCGCAATTAAATATACACAAAAAGGCATTACACGATCGCCAGTTGACGGTCAGTGGCATGTGCTCCGAGGTAGAACAGACAGTTACTGAGCGTCAACTGGGGATAAATTACTCCTAACAGAAGAACCTGTTCCTAGCCCTAAAGATAACCATTAAATGCAATGCACTGCAGTCGCACTCGATCTGAAGTCTACTTGGGCATGGTCGTGCCAGTGGGGATGAGAACCTTATCCACGCCATGCGCGATGAAGTAAGACCCAGCGTACAGCCACGCGATCTGGATGGTCGTCCACGCGGCAGCAGGCGCGTTCGGCCCCTGGGCGAACGACACGGAGTTACCATTTTGTGGCGAAACCTTGTAAATCGCTTGCTTCAGTTGAGTCGCCAGCGGCTGCGACTTCTTGAGGGATTTCAGCTGAGGAACGGTGAGCTTCCGGGGGAGGATGTGGTATGCGGTGATGTTGTAGATGGTGGGGATGTTGCTGCTCTTAGCGGGGAGCTTCTTAGCGAGGGCTTGGGCTTCTGTGTCGCTGGGGAGGAGGATGGTGGCGTCCGCGAGGGCTGAGAAGTCGTATTTGGAGTTGAGCGCGAGGCCGATGTAACGGTTGATGTCCTTGGCGTATTTCGCGTATTGAGGGTAACGCTTCGTGATGTTCGTCGCCATGTTGTTCAGCTCCGCTTTGAGCTGCGCCTTGGTCGGCTTCGGCGTCGTCGCTTGTGCGCTCGCGCCAGCCACGCAGAGGGCGACGCAGATGAGCGCGAGCACGGCGAGCAAGCGAGAAGTAGCCATTACGATGTTAAAATCAAAGAAAAATAATTAAAGAGGAAATTATGGACTTTTGCGAAGTGGAGTAGTAAGGTGTGCGGATGGAAATCAGGTGCCGCGAAATGTAGAGTCTGCTGATCTGAAGTGCAATCTGCTGAAGAATTGTGGTTGAGAGAGAGATTGATGAAAATCGATTTTCTGGAGGAATTTGTAGAGGCAGGGTTGGGTGATATGGTACAGGGTTACCTGGTATGGTGATTGGAGATTTGGAATTCGCGATGCCACAGTTGTGGTGTTGAAAATCCTCAGCCCTCAGCACTGGCGAGCGCGGTGCGATGAAACGCGCTCGCGATTTCGGCGCCAATATAACAGGATGATTTCGGCGGAGGGAGACCACCGCGAGGCCTAGGGTAACAGCGCGACGCGAGTGGAGCAATGCAAGCCAACAAAACAGTGATGGGTAGATGGTGGCGGCGACGAAGGTCTCGCGATATTGGTAACGATTCTTCGCTGGGCTTGATTCCACAAGCAATGATCGGCGGTGTCGCGAGTGAATGTCGGTCAGCGAAAGGAGATGGGTGTCTGCGATTGTGCATCTGATCGTGTTACAGAAAGCATGTTACAGATTTTAACAGAGGAAAATGCTTCACCAAACGAGATGAAGCGTGCCGCTTGTTTTTCCGCCTAATGCGGCGGGTATCTTGCGGGTGTTTCTCCTCAATTTCGCCCCAGTCGAGGTCGGTACCCCATAAGGGCGATCTGGCTTTCATTTGCGTGAGCGAGATGATCATTTGCTCGTGGTTTGCTTCGATATTTGGTGATGAATCGTCACACTGACGCATGTATGACTACAGACTAGCGAGCAACTTGGGGCACGCGCTCACTGGAGGAAGACGCATCGCAGTTATGCGGCTTTAATACTTACAGAGAGTGTCTGCCCGCATCTATACCTGCCTAGGCGTGCCATCAAGTCTGAGCAACACCTGGTACCGGATGGAATTTAAGGAGCGTGCATGATACCGTAATCATACTGTACAGAGCACGAGCCTCCACTTGCAGAAAGCGAGCACACCAGTTATCGTGAGAGCAGACGCACACCACGGGTGCAGATCAGTCAGCTGCAGCGTTTCTGTGCTGGCAGATACCGTTGGATGGGCAGCACAGAGAAGAGGAGCCACTCCACTTGCACGACTTGCGCGCCTCAGAGCCAAATCTCTTGGCAAGCAAAGCGACGATCACTCACAGCATGAGACGGCTGTTCAGTCGACTTGGTAACCCCACTCACTGCACTGTGGGAAGGGCAGGCGGTAACCAGAGCTCCACTCTCGTCCCGCCGTAACCACAGGGGGCGTTGATGAGATGCGGCGACTGCACTCGCATCACTGCCCTCACCGCCTCTGCCCCTCCCCTTGCCACCTCCGTTGCTGCCTTCCTTTGCTGCCTCACTACACTGCTGACGAGGGGGGCAGTAACCAGATCTCTACTGCTGCTGCTGCTACACCTGCTGCTACTGCTGGTGCTAGTGCTGCTGCTGTTGCTGCTGCTGCTGCTGGTGCTAATGCTGCTGCTGTTGTTGCTGCTGCTGCTACACCTGCTGCTACTGCTGGTGCTAGTGCTGCTGCTGCTGCTGCTGCTACTGGTTCAACACAGGGGCAGGCGGTAACCACAGCTCCACTTTCGTCCCGCCGTAACCACAGGGTGAGTTGACCAGGTGCGGCGACTGCACGAGCATCACTGCCCCCACCGCCTCTGCCACACCCCTCGCCGCCTCCATTGCTGCCGGCATGTGAGCAACCCACGAAGCGTAGCAGAGAAACACCATCAGTGTGCTGCTGTGCTGTGGTAAGTGGTCCTGCTCCTGCTCACTGCTCCTGCTGCTGCTGTGGTATCGACACAGGGGCAGGTGGTAACCAGAGCTCCACTCTTGTCCCGCCGTAACCACAGGGGGCGTTGATAAGGTGGGGTGACTGCACTCGCATCACTGCCCCCACCGCCTCTGCCACACCCCTCGCCACCTCCATTGCTGCCAGCGCGTCAGCAGCCTGTGTCAACTTGCCAGGTGGCAGATTCTGAGCAGAGGAGGAGGCCAGGCTGGCAGACTGGGGGGAAAGGTTTGGGGGGAGAGGGACGAGGAGAAACCAGTAAGGTTGGGCTTTTGGGGCACCTCGATTGTTGGAGGCTTTTCAGGCGCCCGAACTGGTGTTTTGAGGCGCCTCAAATCAGGTGGGTCGTAATGTGTGCACTCGCCAGTGCACGTGTAGGGTTCTTCCCCCAAATAGTCCCACGTCGTAATCTCTAATCCCTAGACCCTAACCGCAAACCTCAAATCCAAACCCTGAAACCCCTGCACTCACCAGTGTCTTCCACCACCCGCAGCACGCCTCTCCGCGGTGCCCTTTGCCAGTGCACGTGCTCCCACCCGCCCCATATAGCCTAGAAATCCCAAATCCTTATCCCCAAAACCCCGTCCTAGAACCTTGAATCCCAAACCAGAACATCAACCCCTTGACTCACCAGGTAGTGCACGCCCACGCCACTGTCCTTCACCAGCAGCAGCATGCCTCTGCCCGGTGTCCTCTGCCAGTGCATATGCACCCACCCACCCCCAGCTAGCCTCGACGTCCCAAACCCCAATACTCAATATTCTAACCTGTAAACCCAGACATCAACCCCTTGACTCACCAAGTAATGCACGCCCACGCCACTTTCTTCCACCAGCAGCAGCACGCCTCCTCCTGGCGCCCTCTGCCAGTGCACTTGCACCCACCCACCCCCAAATAATTGCAACCTAAGCCCCAATCCCCAAACCCATAACCCTCAACTCACCAGGTAGTGTGTGCCCACGCCACTGTCTTCCACCAGCAGCAGCACTCCTCTGCCCGGCGCCCTCTGCCAGTGCACGTGCACCCACCCACCCCCAGCTAGCCTCGACGTCCCAAACCCCAATACTCTATATTCTAACCCGTAAACCCAGACTTCAACCCCTTGACTCACCAGGTAGTGTGTGCCCACGCCACTGTCTTCCACCAGCAGCAGCACTCCTCTGCCCGGCGCCCTCTGCCAGTGCACGTGCACCCACCCACCCCCAGCTAGCCTCGACGTCCCAAACCCCAATACTCTATATTCTAACCCGTAAACCCAGACTTCAACCCCTTGACTCACCAGGTAGTGTGTGCCCACGCCACTGTCTTCCACCAGCAGCAGCACTCCTCTGCCCGGCGCCCTCTGCCAGTGCACGTGCACCCACCCACCCCCAGCTAGCCTCGACGTCCCAAACCCCAATACTCTATATTCTAACCCGTAAACCCAGACTTCAACCCCTTGACTCACCAGGTAGTGTGTGCCCACGCCACTGTCTTCCACCAGCAGCAGCACCCCTCCTCCCGGCGCCCTCTGCCAGTGCACGTGCACCAGCTAGCCTCAAAGGCCCAAAACCCAAACTTGAAACCTGAGAAACCTGAACCCTGAACCCCGACCTGCACTCACCAGGTAGTGCACGCCCACGCCACTGTCTTCCACCAGCAGCAGCACGCCTCCCCCCGGCGCTCTCTGCCAGTGCACGTGCACCCACCCACCACCCTCTGTGGCGTGCAGTGCTGCATCCAACACCCCCTGCAGCAGCCGCCTTATGTCACTCTCATGCCCCAACACCTCCCAGGACTCCTCCTCTCCCTCCTGTCCCTCCTCTCGCTCCTCATGCCCCTGCTGTTCCCTCCCCTCTCCCACGCCATTGCTGCTTTCAAACGATTCTGCTGCAACCACCAAGCGCCCCATTTCTTCTCCTCCTCCTCCTCCTCCTTCAGAGGTATTACCCCCTTCAGCCCCCCTACCTACCACATATCGCTCTAGCATAGCCTCATAAACCAAATCACCACTATCCACTCCACTCCCATAATCCCCTCTCCCTAGCCCTGACCTTTGAGTCGACTCAGAGGTATCCTCTTGTGCCCCCCTACCCACCACATATCGCTCCAGCATCGCCTCATAAGCCGCATCATCATCATCATCCATTCCACTCTCATACTCCTCTCTCCCTTCACTCCCACTGCTCCATCTCAACCGTCCATCTTCTTCAACCGCCCCAGTCAAACCACCCTGCCCATCAGCATTTTCTCTCAACTCCTCACCTAAGTCTCTTGCTCTCCTGCCCCCTGATTCAGCCTCCTCTTTCGCCTCCCCCTCGCCCCAGTTCTCTCTCCCACTAAGCACCCGCCCCACAGCAGCACCCTCAGGCTCGGCAGCAGCAGGCTCGGCAGCAGCAGGCACGGCAGCAACAGGCCTGGCAGCAGGAGGTTCCGTGCCTGCCCTGGGATTGGAGGAGCCATAGCTGACAGTGAATCGAATCTCACAGACAGCAGCGAGGGATGTAGCCGCGTCTAGCAGAGGCAGCAGCACCCGGTGCACGCTGCAGGTTGGGTGGGCGCTGGAAAACGACAAGCGAAATGACAAGAAAATAAGGGAAATTACAAGAAGAATGACGAGAGACAGTGACCCGGATGTCACAGGCAGTGGTGAGCGATGTAGCTGCGTCTAGCAAAGGCAGCAGCACTCGGAGCACACTGCAGGTTGGGTGGGGACTGGGATGGTGGAAAAACGACAAGAGGAATGTCAAGAAAAACTGACAAGAGGAATGATAAGGAAATGACAAGAGGAATGATAAGGAAATGACAAGAGGAATGATAAGGAAATGACAAGAGGAATGATAAGGAAATGACAAGAGGAATGATAAGGAAATGACAAGAGGAATGATAAGGAAATGACAAGAGGAATGATAAGGAAATGACAAGAGGAATGATAAGGAAATGACAAGAGGAATGATAAGGAAATGACAAGAGGAATGATAAGGAAATGACAAGAGGAATGATAAGGAAATGACAAGAGGAATGATAAGGAAATGACAAGAGGAATGATAAGGAAATGACAAGAGGAATGATAAGGAAATGACAAGAGGAATGATAAGGAAATGACAAGAGGAATGATAAGGAAATGACAAGAGGAATGATAAGGAAATGACAAGAGGAATGATAAGGAAATGACAAGAGGAATGATAAGGAAATGACAAGAGGAATGATAAGGAAATGACAAGAGGAATGATAAGGAAATGACAAGAGGAATGATAAGGAAATGACAAGAGGAATGATAAGGAAATGACAAGAGGAATGATAAGGAAATGACAAGAGGAATGATAAGGAAATGACAAGAGGAATGATAAGGAAATGACAAGAGGAATGATAAGGAAATGACAAGAGGAATGATAAGGAAATGACAAGAGGAATGATAAGGAAATGACAAGAGGAATGATAAGGAAATGACAAGAGGAATGATAAGGAAATGACAAGAGGAATGATAAGGAAATGACAAGAGGAATGATAAGGAAATGACAAGAGGAATGATAAGGAAATGACAAGAGGAATGATAAGGAAATGACAAGAGGAATGATAAGGAAATGACAAGAGGAATGATAAGGAAATGACAAGAGGAATGATAAGGAAATGACAAGAGGAATGATAAGGAAATGACAAGAGGAATGATAAGGAAATGACAAGAGGAATGATAAGGAAATGACAAGAGGAATGATAAGGAAATGACAAGAGGAATGATAAGGAAATGACAAGAGGAATGATAAGGAAATGACAAGAGGAATGATAAGGAAATGACAAGAGGAATGATAAGGAAATGACAAGAGGAATGATAAGGAAATGACAAGAGGAATGATAAGGAAATGACAAGAGGAATGATAAGGAAATGACAAGAGGAATGATAAGGAAATGACAAGAGGAATGATAAGGAAATGACAAGAGGAATGATAAGGAAATGACAAGAGGAATGATAAGGAAATGACAAGAGGAATGATAAGGAAATGACAAGAGGAATGATAAGGAAATGACAAGAGGAATGATAAGGAAATGACAAGAGGAATGATAAGGAAATGACAAGAGGAATGATAAGGAAATGACAAGAGGAATGATAAGGAAATGACAAGAGGAATGATAAGGAAATGACAAGAGGAATGATAAGGAAATGACAAGAGGAATGATAAGGAAATGACAAGAGGAATGATAAGGAAATGACAAGAGGAATGATAAGGAAATGACAAGAGGAATGATAAGGAAATGACAAGAGGAATGATAAGGAAATGACAAGAGGAATGATAAGGAAATGACAAGAGGAATGATAAGGAAATGACAAGAGGAATGATAAGGAAATGACAAGAGGAATGATAAGGAAATGACAAGAGGAATGATAAGGAAATGACAAGAGGAATGATAAGGAAATGACAAGAGGAATGATAAGGAAATGACAAGAGGAATGATAAGGAAATGACAAGAGGAATGATAAGGAAATGACAAGAGGAATGATAAGGAAATGACAAGAGGAATGATAAGGAAATGACCAGAGGAATGATAAGGAAAGGAATGATAAGGAAATGACAAGAGGAATGATAAGGAAATGACAAGAGGAATGATAAGGAAATGACAAGAGGAATGATAAGGAAATGACAAGAGGAATGATAAGGAAATGACAAGAGGAATGATAAGGAAATGACAAGAGGAATGATAAGGAAATGACAAGAGGAATGATAAGGAAATGACAAGAGGAATGATAAGGAAATGACAAGAGGAATGATAAGGAAATGACAAGAGGAATGATAAGGAAATGACAAGAGGAATGATAAGGAAATGACAAGAGGAATGATAAGGAAATGACAAGAGGAATGATAAGGAAATGACAAGAGGAATGATAAGGAAATGACAAGAGGAATGATAAGGAAATGACAAGAGGAATGATAAGGAAATGACAAGAGGAATGATAAGGAAATGACAAGAGGAATGATAAGGAAATGACAAGAGGAATGATAAGGAAATGACAAGAGGAATGATAAGGAAATGACAAGAGGAATGATAAGGAAATGACAAGAGGAATGATAAGGAAATGACAAGAGGAATGATAAGGAAATGACAAGAGGAATGATAAGGAAATGACAAGAGGAATGATAAGGAAATGACAAGAGGAATGATAAGGAAATGACAAGAGGAATGATAAGGAAATGACAAGAGGAATGATAAGGAAATGACAAGAGGAATGATAAGGAAATGACAAGAGGAATGATAAGGAAATGACAAGAGGAATGATAAGGAAATGACAAGAGGAATGATAAGGAAATGACAAGAGGAATGATAAGGAAATGACAAGAGGAATGATAAGGAAATGACAAGAGGAATGATAAGGAAATGACAAGAGGAATGATAAGGAAATGACAAGAGGAATGATAAGGAAATGACAAGAGGAATGATAAGGAAATGACAAGAGGAATGATAAGGAAATGACAAGAGGAATGATAAGGAAATGACAAGAGGAATGATAAGGAAATGACAAGAGGAATGATAAGGAAATGACAAGAGGAATGATAAGGAAATGACAAGAGGAATGATAAGGAAATGACAAGAGGAATGATAAGGAAATGACAAGAGGAATGATAAGGAAATGACAAGAGGAATGATAAGGAAATGACAAGAGGAATGATAAGGAAATGACAAGAGGAATGATAAGGAAATGACAAGAGGAATGATAAGGAAATGACAAGAGGAATGATAAGGAAATGACAAGAGGAATGATAAGGAAATGACAAGAGGAATGATAAGGAAATGACAAGAGGAATGATAAGGAAATGACAAGAGGAATGATAAGGAAATGACAAGAGGAATGATAAGGAAATGACAAGAGGAATGATAAGGAAATGACAAGAGGAATGATAAGGAAATGACAAGAGGAATGATAAGGAAATGACAAGAGGAATGATAAGGAAATGACAAGAGGAATGATAAGGAAATGACAAGAGGAATGATAAGGAAATGACAAGAGGAATGATAAGGAAATGACAAGAGGAATGATAAGGAAATGACAAGAGGAATGATAAGGAAATGACAAGAGGAATGATAAGGAAATGACAAGAGGAATGATAAGGAAATGACAAGAGGAATGATAAGGAAATGACAAGAGGAATGATAAGGAAATGACAAGAGGAATGATAAGGAAATGACAAGAGGAATGATAAGGAAATGACAAGAGGAATGATAAGGAAATGACAAGAGGAATGATAAGGAAATGACAAGAGGAATGATAAGGAAATGACAAGAGGAATGATAAGGAAATGACAAGAGGAATGATAAGGAAATGACAAGAGGAATGATAAGGAAATGACAAGAGGAATGATAAGGAAATGACAAGAGGAATGATAAGGAAATGACAAGAGGAATGATAAGGAAATGACAAGAGGAATGATAAGGAAATGACAAGAGGAATGATAAGGAAATGACAAGAGGAATGGCAACAAAAATGTCAAGACACATGGGCGACAGTGAAACGGAAGTCACAGCCAGTGGCGAGGGATGCAGCGGCGTCTACCAGAGGCAGCAGCACCGGATGAACACTGCAGGTTGGGTGGGGAGTGGGATGGCAGAGAAGAGATGGGGCCACCTCTTCTCAAGAAGCCTTCCACGGTCCACCCAACCCGGATGACCCCAAAAAGACTTTCTGAGGTGCCTCAAGAGAGGGATTTTTCAGAGGCGCCTCAAAGCTCGTCCCCAACCTGAGGTGCCTCAAGAGAGGTAGCAGCGCTCCACTCGTGTGCACACGGTGCAAGACCCATCACACACGTGGGTTATCTCTAGCAGTCGCACAGACAGCTGACCCGGAGGTGATCTTCTAGTCGACTAAATTATCAGCTCCACTCGTGTGTGCACGGTGCAAGACACATCACACACATGGATCATCACTAACAGTTGCACGGACAGCTTTAGTCGACTCAAAACACATCGCACACATGGATCATCTCTAGCAGTCGCAAGGGCAGCTGACCCACCCACCCACCCACCTGACGGCAAAGCTGGTCGGCTTGACTTGACTCACCTGCTGAAGGGCTGCGGACGAGCCTCTTGAGGCGGCGCCAAGGGAGCAGGCAGCTTTGCTTTGAGAGGTCTTAAGTTTTGAGAAGTCTCAAACGATTTAACAGGTCTCAAACGATTTGAGAGGTCCAAAATTTTTGAGTGGTCTCAATAGATTAACCCACCTGCTGAAGGGCTGCAGACGAGCCTCTTGAGGCGGCGCCAAGGGATCAGACAGCGCCCCCAAGGCTTGTGGATTGGCAGCAGGAGTGGCAGCAGGGGGGACAGCAGGGGGGGCGGGCAGAAGGAGGGGCGGCATGGGGAGCTCAGTGTCAGCCAAAGGGGGGAGGAGGAGTTGTGTGCGGTGAGGATAGGGAGGTGGCAGGATAGATTGGTGTGGGATGGTAGTGGCGGTGGTAGCAGTGCTGCTGGTGGTGCTGGGAAAGGATTGTGCAACTCCTCGCCCCACAGGCCCCTCTGTTGCTGCTGCTGCTGCAGTGACTGCTGCACCCGGGGGGTGAGGCAGGGGGTAGAGCGCCTGCTGCAGCTGCGACAGCACGTCACCTATCTCGTCGCCCTGAGACACCATGCCTTGCACCAGGTCGGGACCCAACTGGAGGAGGGAAGGAGTGTGGGGAGGGGAAGACATGCAGGCAGGCAGGGAATAAGAGCATTTAGCCAGCCATATTCACAGGAGCATGTTGCATATCTTGTCCCCTTGGGACACCATCCCCTGCACGAGGTCAGGCCCCCGCTGGAGAGGCATGGGTAGGGAGATAGGTGGGTGCGTGGGGGGGAATAAGCAGGGACAAAGGGCATTCGACAAACCATGTTAGCTCCACATGACCACATCGCCTCTCGTTCCCCTAAGACACCATGCCCTTCATGAGGTCAGGTCCCCACTGGAGGGGGAAGGAGCGCTGATAGGGAGGAGATAGGAAGGGACAATGGGCATTCATGCAAGACAACTTTGTTGACAACATCACATCTCCTATCTCGTCTCGATGAGACACCATGACAAGATATGTACGTCACGGCATCATGCGTGTCAGTTAGAGTTAATATCGAAAAGAAATCGAACGGGACAACCTCGGCTCACGAGGAATTTGCTTGTTGCCACAGGGGTACCCACCTCTCACTTCTGTCGTTGCCACTTGCCTCATGGGCACACCCACGAGCACCCATCAGCACCCCTCATCACCCATTAGCACAATCAGCAACCACCCGCACCTCTGTCTTCGCCACTTTCGGCATGGGCACCCATAAGCACCACACCTCACCTCTGTCTTTGCCACTTGCGGCATGAGCATTCGCCCCAGCGTGCGCAGAGCGGAGAGGGGGGCGCGCATCTGATGTGTGAGGGGGAAGTCGTGGAAACATGGGAGAGGACCGGGGACGGGGGGAAGGAGGGAGTGGGAGGGGAGGAGGAGAGGATGGGAGGGAGGTGGGGAGGAATGGGGGGAAGGAGAGGGGGAGGCATGACTCCATCGGCTCCAAAGCACATGAGGGGGCCAAATGAGCCGATTGAGTCATAATCAACCACCATCAGCTCAATCGGCTGAACCCCCATGACTTGGTGCGACTTGGTGCCGCAGGGAGGAGTATCACAGAGAGCATGAACCACCATTGCTCAAGCTGGCCCACCTAAGCAGGCCTATCCTCCCATCTGAACCATGGGGTTCGTTTCGTTGAGCTTCTACCTTCGACAGGGAGGAGTAGCACATCGAGCATGTACCGTACCACCACCATGGAAAGGATTCGGCTGACCTGGTCTAGAAGCGAGTCGATGGTGACTGTGCGCTGCCTCAGCGACTGCTGCATCATCCATGCCCTCTGGTGACGTGGCAGATGGGTGGCAGGAGGGGTGAGAGGTGGATGGCAGGATGCAGGAGACAGAGACAACAGTAGATGAGTGAGACAAGCAGAGGGGATTGAGGTTCAAGTCACTTGACAACGAGAGAGGTGAGAAGTGACAGGTAATACATGAGTCTAAACGAGAGAGGTGAGAAGTGACATGGTTCCGTTGCCATCTCTCTTCCCCGAGAAGTGACAGGTAATACATGGCTCGAACTCGGGGAAGAGAGATGGCAACGGAACCAAGAACATTCAGGTAAACCTCTCTTAGATACACCGTGCCGTGAAAGCTTAAGAGAATGTGCTGGCCGTGGCGTGGAGGAGGAACCCTTCCTCCTCGTTCATATCCCCAACCACCCCACGCTGTTCCGGCAGTAAAATTGCTTCAGCCTCAGAAACCATTACCTGTTCCATGACGTATGCAAAAGCAAGGGAGCGAGCCACGCCTACTGCTGCGCGCTGCTCCTCCTCCTCGTATGGCTTCAGCTGCACCCACTCCACCTGCTGTAACCCCACCAGGAGACTTTTGAGTCGACTCAAAAGTCACCTCTCTTCAACTGCACCCACTCCACTTGCCGTGACCCCACCTCACATGGTTCCAACCTTAGAGGCGACTCAAAGCTCACCTGTTCCATGACGTATGCGAAAGCAAGGGAGCGAGCCACGCCCACTGCTGCTCGCTGCTCCTCCTCCTCGTACGGCTTCAACTGCACCCACTCCACTTGCGCTCCTCTTTCCTGCCCTCCGTTCGCCTGCCCTCCGTTCGCCTGCCCTCCGTTCGCCTGCCCTCCATTTGTCTGCCCTCCGTTCGTCTGCCCTCCCTTTCCCTCCCCACCCACCTCCCCACTCCTCTGCTCCCTCGTTCCCTCTCCTTGCCCCTGCCGTGTTCCACCCTCGCTCCCAGCCTTCCCTTTGCCTTCCACACTCTCTGCTTCCTCCTCCCGCACTCCCCCTCTCCCTCTCTCACCCTCTCCCCTCCTCTCTGGTCGTCTCAGCACCCACTGCTGCAGTCTACCCACTGCTCCCACTACTCTTTCCGACCTTCCTCCTCTCCCTCCTCCCCCTCCTCCGCCTCCTCCTTCCCCTCCATCTGACCTTCGTGCTCCTCCAAAGCCCTCCCCTCGGTCCCCTTCTGGCTCTTCTCGCCTTGTGCCACTGCCACTAGCTTCCTGGCGTTGCTCTTCCTCCTCAGTCACTGGTTTGGCACACGGGAAGGAAGCAATGGCAAGCAACGGTACATTGTACAATGACAATGCGGCTCTGGCTTGCCACCGAATGACTTGAAAGACGACTCAAATCGAGATGAGTTTTGGGTTGACTTCCAAGGTCGGCTTTGCAGGTGGAAGGAAGCGACCGTATATTGTACAATGGCAATGCACCTCTAGCTTGCCACCTGATTAGAGCCAACCGGCACATAACATGAATGAACTCCTCCCAAGCCACTGGGTCGACGACACGAAGCAATATCAATGCCCCGGATAAACAGAGAAACTCTGCAGTGCAGAGGTGAGGGGGGGTCAGTCAGTGGCAGTGCACGCTGCCGCAGGGAGGCACTTGAGCGACTTCTCAACATTGTCAGTCAGTGGCAGTAGCTGCTGGTCTGCAGGGAGTGTCAGTCAGTGCCAATACTTGTTGTGTTGTTGTAGGGAGTCACTTTTGAGATTCTCAAAAGTACCGGTCAGTAGCAGTACCTGCTGCTGCAGCTGAGGGTGGCAGCGGTTGCAATTCACGGTGCAGCACGAGCAGGCCGAGCAGGAAGGAGTCTCGTGTAAGAGCCACCACCAGCGCCCCCTCGCTCTCCAGTGAAATCACCTGCGGCCCAAATGGGTGGATTGGCACAACACGGCACACAAAAAAATCAGAGTTTCGGGTTTAGGGTTTGTTGGAAACAGGTGCCATGCCACACCATTGCTCCCTCGTCCTCCAGTGAGATCACCTGCGGCATGCATTCGCATTTCACAGCGGGAATGGGATTGCAACATTCAATGCAATGCAATCCAGCGCAGGGTGTGGTTACCATGTTACCATTAAGTGATCCTTCACGCCAGTCACACTCACTGTTGAAGCAAACCAATGCAAGGCTCGGATGAAAAGCACGAAAAGAGTCAGTGCAATACACCATTCCATACAGTATGAAGGCGCCTCAAAAGATTTGAGGCCCCTCAAAAGCAGTGCAGTGCAGTGGAAGGCATGGATGATGAGCATGAGAAGAGTCAGCAATGCTCACTTATTCCGTGCTCACCTCTTTCTGTACAAGCACAGCTTCTAACGAAGGCGGCAGCTTTGCAATAGGCGGCTCGTTCCCCACCTCCTCCTCTTCTTCTTCCTCCTCCTCCTCTCCACTCATCCCTCTCACCTCCCCCACCCCTCCTTCCACAGCCTCTCCCCCTCCTCCCATCTCCATCCCTCCCCCGCTGCCTCCACCCATCTCCTTCTCCTCCGTTTTCTGTTTGCTTCGGTAACGTGCTCTGTCTCGGGCCCCGGGCAGCCTTCTCACCACTCGTAGCAGTTCAATCTGCCCGGAGAGGAAGCTTTCTGGCGTACGAAGGTAAAGCTGCAGGAGGGGGCAGGACAGAGGTGGACGTATATTTTTACCCGACAGAATGGAGGGGTAACAACGTTACAAGGGCACGTGGTTGCACAGACAGTTGAAAACACACGGAGGACTGGAAGGGGCTAGAGAAGATTCAGCTTCAGCTTTCACACGCTTCAGAAAACGGTTTTGAGGCATCTCAACAGGACGTGAAGTTACCTTTCTCTGTTACCCTTTCTCCATTTCTCTTTCTAAGGTTTCTATGCCGGACAGTGAACCTACATCTCCACCCACTCACACCTACCGTGATTCTTGTAGGCTGAGACCCGCAGCAGCGCAGAGCCACCCCCATCACGTCCAGCTGTGCGTGGCACAGCGCGAGGAAATCCGCACTCGGTGCTCCCAACGGCCGCCCCTCTGTGGCCTGTGCGTTCCCCTGCTCTCCCTGAAACCACCCTTGACTCGCTTGACTCCCTTGACTGGCTTGACTCCCTTCACTCCCTTGGCTTGTTTGACTTGTCTGTTCGCCTTGATACCAGCCTTGACTGGCCTGGCTCCTTTGACTTTCTTGACCACCTTGGTACCATCCGTCGCTGCGTTGACTTGTTTGACTTCCTTGACTGCCTTGGGATGCTGACCCTTGGAACGAAGACCCTTGACCCCATGCATCCGTCCCCCACTCCCCACTGCTATTGCTCCTGCTCCCACTGCTACTGCTCCTGCTACTGCTCCCACCAATGTTGTCTCTCTCACCATCTGACTCACTGGAGTAACCATACCCGCTAGTAGCATCTCCCCTAGCCTCTGCATCACCGCTGCTCTTTCCGCCAACCCTCGCTTCTCGCCCCTCTCCACCTTTCCCCTCCCCCTCCGCCTGGTTCTGCGCCTCCCCTTCCACCTCCCCTTTCGCCTGCCCTCCGCGCATGGACGCGGAAGCGACACCCAGTGCCGTCGCAATCATCCACGCGGCCTGTGCGATATCCACTTCAATGAGACGCACGCGACGACTCTCCCCCCACACGCGCCCTCCCCCTGTCTATTTCCGCCGCCGCCTCCGCCGTGGCGGAGCGTCCTATGGGGAGCGCGGATCCCCGGCGGCGACGCCCCCTTCTAACCGCGTCCATTTCTCCGAACTGCGCGTCCCTTCCGCCGAGGAGAAGCGCGCGCGCGACCAGTGGGCGCCAATCGTGGCCGCGCATCTCGCCATTTCGCCATCCCAGGGAAGAATCCGCGCCGCCCCCCCGCGGCCATCGTTGCAAGCAAGTCGCCCCTTTTCCCCTGTGACTGGGCCCAGCGCGCAACACCTTTCCGCTAACGGCACTGACGATGTCACCTCTGCTGCAAGAGCTCCCGCCCGCAGTAGCCGCACTAGACGGAGCAACCAGACCGTCATGACTCAATCTGGAAGATGATGCGGCCCGGCCGAGAGGAGGACGCGGGAATGCGGAGCGCGCTTCCATTTGCGTCTCTGCGCGGATTGGTGACAACCCTTGGGCTTTCTTGACAAGTTGACTCGATATTCGTCAATGTGCAGTGTGCTACACCCAACTGGCCGATTCTTGACCCTATTATACACAGGCGGTGCAATCACAGACTATCGCACGAAATACGAGGCTGAAGTGGCACAGTCACGCAGAGGTCGCGAAAGGCGATGCAGGCTGCATAGCTGACGAAATACCGTCAAGCATACAGTAACCCTGGTAAGTACCAATGCACGAATCCATCTATAGGTAAGTCGTGTGCCGTCCATGCTCACCGCACCATGCGGAGATAACTAGTACAACGTGAGCTAGACTGCGGGCTAGGCACGGGTGCTCGTGTGATTTCTGCGTTCTTTCACTTAGTCGTTTACTTGTGCTTGCAGTACTTGCTGGTTCACGCGGGAATTTGGCAAGAGTTCCACTAGCAAAAGTTCACAACAATGATAGCAACAACATTGCCAACACAGACTACATCTGAGCTAGCTAGGTTGCTGGTCGACCTCCAGCGCAGCATGGTCGACCACGCTCCAGCGCAGCAGCGCTCGCACCGCTCCAGCGTTGCAGAGTAGCGGTGCGGCAACGTTGCAAGTCCACGGTGTGCCAACGTTGCAGCAAGTCGGCTGCACAGCGTTGCACCCGCAGGACAACGGTGCACCTGCTTCGCAGGTGTGTGCAGCTAGTTGGCACTCCACACCTTGTCACAAGCACAGCGCAGACGCCTGGCAAACTCCATGCCAGCGGCTGCGCCCACCAGCCACGTCGACCTCGGGATACCACCCCCGAGGTTGGCCTCGCAGAACTCACCCCAGCGACCTTCGCCCACGTCGCCCGGGTATCCCGGTCGACCGGGCAACCGCGCCTGGTTGACCAGCTCAGTCCGTAGCCGGCCACACATGCCCGGCGTCCCCAGTTCGGCGTCTAGGCGCTCAGGACACCGTCCGACCTCCCAGGTCGGCGTCCAGACGCCCAGAACGCCGTGTAGACGTCCAGGGCGGTGTCCAGCCTCCCAGGACGCCAACCGGACGCCCAGGTCGACGTCTGGGTCCACAGGACGCCCTGCAGACGCCCAGGTCGGCGTCCAGCCTTCCCGGACGCCGTCCAGGCGTCCAGGACGGTGTCCTCCTGCTCGGCGCCCTCCAGCCAGGCGCCCTCCTGCTCGGCTCCCTCCAGCCAGGCGCCCTTGCAGTGGCCCCCGTGCCCACTGCTGTTGGTCGGCTGCAACCCCCGCACATCCGACCACAAGGTCGGCTCCGCCCAAGCGAGGACGGGGCCACACAACACTCCCGTTGACACTCTCCTGCCGCGTTCACGCTTGGGATCCCCCATCCCACACGGCAGCACTGCTCTGAGAAAAGCTCAGCGGCGTGCACACAACACACAGCACGCCGGTCACTGCACCAGCCATGCAAGAGGGCATGGCACCTACTGCTGCACTTCGTTGTCGCCGTCGCCCACGTCGGCCAGGCGCACTTGGCCGATTGCAACGGAGCACCGGTTGAAGGCCGGATAGTGCAGCGCCTTCGTCAGGAAGTCGGCCGGCTGCTCAGCGGTCGGGATGTACTTCAGCGAAAACTTCTCGCGCTTCACCATGTGCTGCAGCCAGTCGCCGCTCCATGTGCTTGAGGTTGCCCGTTAACCCCATGCCCTCGGCGACTGTGATGGCCGACTTGTTGTCCACCCGAAGGAGGGTCGGCGTCGCGGCGTCCAGCTGCCGGAACTCTGCGAGGAGGAAGCGAAGGCGGCGTCCTTCCTTGCCGGCTTCGGTGGCCGCCACGTACTCCGACTCGGTCGACGACAGCGTCGCGCACTTGATGCGCTGGCTCGACCAGGAAACCGCGGCCCCTCCGTAGACGAACACGTAGCCGCCCGTGCTCGTCCGGCTCTGCCTGTCACCGGCGTCGTCGGCGTTCACGTAGCCGACCAGCTCCAACGACTCTGGCCCACCGCCGAACTCCAGGGCGGTGTCACGCGTGTTGGCGAGGTAGGCGAGGCAGCGGTCGACCTCGCGCCAGTGCTGGTCGCTCCTCACCGTGAGGCCGCTCCCCAGCTTGCTGAAGGCGAAGGCGACGTGCGGCCTCGTCGTTGTCGCCGCGAACTGCAGCGAGCCGACCTTCTGCCGGTACTCCTCCTCCTGACGTTCCTGCGCCTCCTCGTCGTCGAAAGTCAGCTCGGCGTAGGCGTCGATTGAGACCGGCGTCTTCGGGGTGCGCCCGGTCTGCTCCTCGTCGATGAAGCGCCTACGCAGCTTGTTGGCGTAGCCCTGCTGATGCAGCCACAGCTTCCCAGCCGACCTGTCATGCACGATCTCCAGCCCGAGGTACTTCTGTACCGGCGAGCTCTCGCGCAGCTCGAAGGCGGCCTCCAGCAGCTCCCTCAACTACTTCAGCATCTCGGTGCTGCTGCTGGCGGTGACTAGGTCGTCGACGTAGACCAGCACACTGAAGGCCACTTCGTTGTCGCCGACCTTGAAGTACAGAGCCTCGTCGACCTGGCTCTTCTTCCACCCGGAGCCGACCAGCACGTCGTTGAGCGCCAAAGTACCACAGCAGCGGCGACTGCTTCAGCCCGTACAGGCTCTTCAGCAGCTTGCACACCCGGTCGGTTTCGTCGTTGAAGTAGTCCGGCTGGTACATGTACAGCACCCGGTCAAGCTTGCTCTGCAGGTAGGCGTTCTTCATGTCGAGCTGCATCAGGTTGAGGTTGAGGAAGGCGACAATGCTGAGGAAGATCCTCAGCGTGACGTAGCTGCCCACCGGCGTGAACGTCTCCTTGTAGTCGGCGCCATACACCTGGGTGAAGCCCTTCACGACCAGCCTCGCCTTCTCGCGCTCGAAAGTGTCGTCGATGTGGTACTTCGTCGTCAGCACCCACCGGTTCTTCATAATGTTCACTCCCGGCGGGCGTTCGACCAGCTCCCACGTCCCCATGTCGATGAGGCTGCGGATCTCGTCCTCCATGGCGGCCTTCACCACCGCGCCCTTCCATCTTGCCAACGCCTCCTTCACCGTCATCGTCGAGATGTCCCAACGGTGCTCGAGGTCGGCATGCATGTTGGGGTCGAACTCTGGAAACTCCTCATCCTCCTCGGCGTACAGCAGGTCATCATCAACGTTCAGGTCATACACCGTGGTGAAGGCAGCGGGGACGAAGAAATCGGGCGGCCTCCGAATTCGGCCTAACGTCCGAGGTCCAGGCTGAACCTCGACCACGTCGCTGTCGGTGGACTCGTCGGCGTCCCCTTCATCGTCACAGGCGTCGCTGCTCTCAGCATCCTGCTGCACCGCTGCAGTCGACGTCCCTGCCGACTTCTGCCCTGCGGTCGGCTCCCCTGCCGACTGCCCGGTTGCCGACTGTTCCTTGGTCGGCTTTGCCGCTGCCTGCTCCCCTGTCGGCTGCTGCGCTGCTGGTCCCTCCTTCGCCGGCTTCACCAAATTCGGCTGCACCTCCACCACCTGCTGCTCCTCGGTCAGCGTCGGCTTTGCTCCCACACCGACTTGCACAGATTCACGCCGGCCACCGGCGATGCTTGGGGCCGGCGCCACAGGTGACGCCCCACTTCTCCCCTCATCGCCGGAGGCCGACGCCGGGGTCAGCCCACGCATGTCGGCAACTAGGGGAGGGGCAAGGGAAGGGCAGGGAGTGGGGACGTCCTCGGCGTCCTCACCAGCAAGCTCACCGACCTCGATGAGCAGAGGCAGCGTAGCCGTCGAGGTGTTCGTGGGCGGGTGAACCGGCGTCCGCCCTAACGCCGGCCCGTGCTCCGACTGCCACACCTCCAGCGACATGCTCTCGTAGAACACCACGTCCGACATGGTGACCACCCGGTTGTCGGCGATGTCGAGTAGTTCCCAGCCCTTGCTCTCCCCAGACACGCCGAGGTGAAGGCCCCACCTGGCCTTCGGCTGCAGGTTCCCACCACACTGCTGCTCGGGGACCAAAAACTGTGCCATGCAGCCCCACACCCGCGCCAGCGACAAGCGGGCTTCTTCCCGGTGAGCAGCTGGTACGGCGTCGTCCCCGGCGGCAGCGTCGACCTCTCAAGGCAGTTGCGGACCCAGACGGCCTGCCGCAGAGCGAGGTGCCACCAGTGGTGTTGCACGCCCATGTGCAGCAGCATCGTTCGCACCGACTCCACCACAGTCCTCATCTCCCTATCCGCCATGCCGTTCTGCTGTGGGGTGTAAGGGCAGGTCAGGTCGTGGACGATCCCCTTGCCGTTCACGAAGTTGGTGAACTGTTTCCCGAGGAACTCCCCTCCCCGGTCAGAGCGCAGCATCATCACCGACTTCTTCGTCTGCCGCTCAGCCACCACCAGCCACTCCACGAACACCTGCAACGCATTCGACTTCTTGGCGACCAGCCTCACCCACACGTAGCGGGTCTTGAGGTCCTTCAGCAGCAAGAAGTACAGGTTGCCGTCCTTGGCAGCCACGCGAAACGGCCCGCACAGGTCGATGTGCACGACGGCCAGCACGTCGTC